GCTCCACACCCCCTGATGACCCCACCCAGCGGCCTCATGTAGATGTTAAACAGCATTGGGGAAATAATCAACCCCTGTGGAACCCCACAATTGAGACTCCACGGGGCCGAGACACTCTCCCCAAGCTGTACTCTCTGGGGGCGGTCCTCCAAGAAGGAACGGAGCCAGGCCAGTGCCAGGCCACCAATTCCCAGCTCAGAGAGCCTTCCCAGGAGGATACCGTGGTCAATTGTATCAAAGGCCGCTGAGATATCTAGGAGGAGCAGCAGAGACATTTTGCCCCTGTCAGCCTCCCTCAATAGGTCATCACACAGGGCAACCAATGCCATTTCTGTACCATGGTGCAGCCTGAAGCCCGACTGAAATGGATCCAGGGCATCTGTTTCATCCAGGTGCGCCTGGAGCTGGTCGGCCACCACCCTCTTGACCACCTTGCTTAAGAAACATTGGCGACGGGCCTATAGTTGCCAGTTTTGTCCGCCGCCAAACTAGGTTTCTTCCTAATGGGCCTAATGAGTGTCTCCTTGAGGGCAGGTGGAAATCTGCCCTCAAGGAAAGACCCATTAATTATTACAGAGGCCCATTCCGTTGTTATAGACCTGGCTGCTTTGATTAGCCAGGCCGGGCAAGGGTCAAGGGAGGAGGTGGTGGCACGGCAGCGATCAAATTGGAATTATATGAAAAGAAACTGACAAATTTGCATGTCAAAATGAAGACACATTTTCTAATCTTTCAAAATTAATTTAAGACCTTTCTCTAATTGCTGTTGTTGGAGCTTATTGAAAACTTACATAACTGAACCCTTAGTCTGAAAAACTTTGGGGAAAAAGAAGGATAAAAATACTGTTGTCAGCTTCACCGTCCTAATATTTTTCTAAATTCTCCACATGCTTAGGCTGGTGGGTATTCTGCCAATCCTCCTCAGAGAAACATTCCACAGCCAGGTGGACTCCTTTGAATTTGCTGGGAGGGAAGAGGGTTTGTTTAGCTTTATTAGCTTGTTTATTCTGTTCTGCAGGTACCTTCTTCCCTTTGAAAAACCATTTCATAATAAACTTCCTATTTTGAAAGTGCAAGAGAATTTTGTTTTTCTGCTGTCTTCCTATCTTGCTTATTCTGTTAAAAGTTCAGTTCTGATGGTTACTTAGAAAGTACTGATAAGCTGTCTAACTGCTATTCCTGGTGCAGCATCAAGAAACCCCCAAAGCAGTCTAGACTGTGTAGATCAATTGTTCTTCTTGTCACAGAAGATAGTGTAATTGTTAACTAAGGTATGCGTTCATTGTGCTTTACTCTTAGCTACATTTTAGTTGCTAGGGACTGCCACCAGAGAACACAATTTTGTTGTTTATGATGGTATAGAAAGAATGTCTCTTCAAATACCCAAGTAATTTCAATATGCTAAACAGGGAGCAAGAAGGGAAGCAGGAGCAGAATGGTGAGCTCAGATAGCTGTCAGATATTTATTCCAGCAGATCTTAGAATCTTCAATCTATTGTTCTAATACAGATTGTTGCAAATATGCAATATACACACAGCTGCAGTTACCATCTTGGTGTAAATATTTGTGATGGAGTGGGGGATAGGATAATTTTGCCACAGCTGCACAATGGCTTCATTAGAGAAGGTTTCAAGCAACCAAACTCCCCCCCCCCAAAAAATGCAATTGATTTCTTTCTCTTTTTTTTACCAGGTGTTGCTGTGTTTGCCTGGAAAGGGGAGTCAGAGGATGACTTTTGGTGGTGCATTGATCGTTGTGTTAATGTGGATGGATGGCAAGCCAATATGGTAATGAAACAAATTGACTCTCATTCTTCTATTACACTCTAATTCAGAAAAATATTGACTGGTATCCAGAAAGCTATTTTGGGTACACCCAAGGGCTTTGGCATATTTTAATGGAACTCCTGGTTTTTGTTTTTTCCCTTTTCTGCTGTTGGATAGCAAAACACCATTGCTATACTACAACATACCGGTATTTCTAACATTGCTTCAGAAGAGAGCTGTCATATAGAACAATATGGTAACATTTATGAAATAAAATCCCTTACACATCTAGAATTTGTTCTCTGGACCAGATTAGATTATGCTGCTGTTTCAGTAGCTAGCCACATCCAATAACTCTAAAGTTCTTTTCCTTACTCCATTGTGCCCTTTTTCTTTCATTTCATCTGTTCAACAGGGCTTGTTAGAGAAGGAGTTAGAAAGTTTTAATTTAAAACTAGTTAATATCTTTCCTTAAAACTGAGCTGAAAATTCTCATGAGAACTTTCATCTATAATTGGAAATGACAGTGGAGAAATGTTTCCTGCATGCTATCTGGTTCACAGCCATACAGAAGGAAGTAATTTTATTAATTAACTTCATAGCCACTGGTGTGGCAAAATACATGCATATTGGCTATTGTTGCAGTGTTCTAAGAAAGGTACAGATAACCATATCCTGTTTCTTTGACTTTCTTTGAAATGTTAGCCAAAGAAAAAGTAATTATTACTATAGTGGCTATATATTTTGTTTCAATTTTCTAGCCTAAGCATTGTATAGTAATTAGCACTGATGGTCTGGAGTATGCTTAGTTCACATTTTATAGTACTGCCTCTCTATATATGTTCCAGTTCTTGTATTAAAAAGCCAGTCCTGATATGTTGTTGCATGGATGTCATTTTGCAGGATGCTTATGACATATGAGAACAATCAAAATCCCAATCATGAAATCTGTATGTGACTAACACTTCTCATTCCTACCAGAAGAATTTTGTGTTTGTGCTTTTAAGTGACGTTAGGTAAACATGGGACATCAATAGCAGAAAATCAGAGTTTTAGATTAGGTAGCTCTGTTAGTTTGTGTTAGCATGTCAGGTCAAAAAAGAAAAGAGAAGAAAAAAGAAAACAAAAATGTTGTGGCACCTTAAACACTAACTGCTGTATTTTAAGGTGAGCTTTTGTGGACAAATCCACTTTTTCAGACCTGAGCTGATTTCTACTTCCCATATTTTAGATCTTGGATGATGGAGGAGACTTGACACATTGGGTCTACAAGAAATATCCAAATGTATTTAAGAAGATCAGAGGCATTGTAGAAGAGAGTGTGACAGGTGTGCACAGGTAAACTAACTTAGACCTGAACAATCTTATGCATTCTGTTTCTTATTTTGAAACTCTGGGTAATTTTAGGGTCTTCTCCATATTTGGTTGTCAAGCTTTATTTAAGGCCCCATGGGATAATGCAAGGACACAATGAGCAAAACAAGGCCATAAAAGAACTGCTGTTGTTGTTTAGTCATTAAATTGTGTCCAGCTCTTCGTGACCCCATGGACCAGAGCACACCAGGCCCTCCTGTCTTCCACTGTCTGGAACTGTATTGTGGAGCCAATATAGAATTAGGGTCTAGTTATACTAGTATACAGTACTTTCTTTTCTTGTTAATCCATGGGGATTTATGTAACATTAAAAGTTGAAGAGGTTTTCACACAGCATTTGTTTCCCTTTTTTACATCTTGTGTTAGTAAAGAACAAATTATGTTTTAATTTCCCACTACCATTCTGTTGTTTACCATAGAAACTGTTCACTCCGCTGTTCCTGCTCAGTTGTGTTTTCTTTCGCTCTTCTCCTTTGCCTCCATTATTTTTGCAGTACCATTTGTTTGTTTAAGATGCATCCAGTACTAAATTTCTAGTGATAATGGCAGGAAGTAAGGTACTGGTTTATACTGAGGCACAAATAAACAACCCAGTTGGTGTCCCAAATTGATGCACAGTCAAATTACAAAAAGTAATCCAAATAAAGAGCAAATACTCCCTAATTATTTCAAAATGAAATAATAGCAATTAAAGGGTATTTGAATTTGCTTCTGAATACTTTGGGGAGTAACTTTTTGCAGGGTTTTTTTGGTACATTTATCCATCTATATGGACATGGATGAAGCGGACCTTTAATCTATCTAGGTTACTCTTGCCTAAATTAGCAGTAGCAGCTTGCCAAAGTTAGACATGGGTCTTCCCCAGCCCTGCTTGGAGATGCTGAGGATTGAACTTGAGATCTATAGCATGCAGAAGCATGGTCTCATACTGGAACATTAGTTCATGGATAAATAAAATGTGTGAGGAAAATGTTTTTTTCAGGCTTCTCTTCTGGGGAATACTGTTGTTGCTCTGTCTTTCCACAGAAATCTGGTGGTGGTGGTGGTGGTAATTGTCAGTACATTTGACTTACTTAGCAGCAGCATGAAGCATATTTCTCTGTTGATTATATGTGCGTTGTGATTAGCTCCTAAGTATATTTGATAATGAAGATTCTCTTTATATTGGACAGCTTCTGGCTTCAAATTGTTTTCTGTACTTTTTAAAATTATAAATAATATGCATACAGGAAGCAGTGGGGGAAGGGCAGACTCATGCACGTAACTATTAAAGGAGTGGGTATTTTGGTTCAGTTTGAAGAGCTTTTAGTCCAGCAAGCAAATGGTGCCCCTCTTTAATTATATATGTATGTCTGAGTATTTAATTCCAAAATATTCTCTTTTCCTCTTTCAGGTTGTACCAGTTATCAAAGGCTGGAAAACTATGTGTTCCAGCAATGAATGTCAATGACTCTGTCACCAAACAGAAATTTGATAACTTGTACTGTTGCAGAGAGTCCATCTTGGACGGGTGAGTCTGATCCAAAGTTTTGACAGCTGTGGAAAAAAACACCTAAAAGTAGTCCCAGGCTTTCATCCCATGCTTTAGTGCTGCAGAGTTTATAACAACTCTGTGAGGTCCAGTTGCAGAATATGGCCATATTGTTATGGAATCCTGAAATATTTTGTTGAGTTAAAAGCATATGCTTTAAACATAGTCATCATTTCAAAAAAAGGTTTCTCTTTCTGTCTCCCCTACATCACAGACTGAAGAGGACAACTGATGTGATGTTTGGAGGAAAGCAAGTGGTGGTATGTGGCTATGGTGAGGTGAGTTGCAGAAGTGACAATAGCCTGGCTAATTGAGCAGCTCTGAAGCGACACATTAAAGATGTATCTTTGCTTAGTACTGTACAGTATTTATGATCTCTGGGACTTGTTATTTGCCTTTTTCTTATGTAAGAGAACCATTAAGAAAAGAACCATTAGGAAGAATAGCCACAACATTATTTATCAGATTGTAATAGTTATCATAGTAACTGCAAGATACTGATACCAGTTCTACTCTCAGTTGTATTGCTACGATAAAATATGGAATGACTTTAGTAGTGTATTCCAGCTTATTTGGATAGATGTGTGGTTTGAACTGATCCAACATGGATGTTACCAACACCATATGAAATTTACATGCTTTAGGGCTAAACCATGTAAAATGATAGCAGTTTGATACCTTAAAACATGCTCAGTGTTCAAGCCACATCAACAGGTGGAGTTAGGATGGAGAAGTCTGGCTTTAATGCTAAAAGTATGTTCCAGGTTCAAGGACCGCCCCTCCAGATACTTTGTTCACATCTGAATGTCAGTATTGAAGTGACCTCACAGATTTGATGATAGAGTACCGGTAGCTATAGTGTTGCTATTTTGCATAAGCCAAATGCAACATTCCCTCTAATTGTCATCCCTGCTGTGCGGCAACTTTGCCTATCTGCGTGTGGGCGCAGGGTTTCATCTGAAACCCAGAAGTAAGCAGGCATCGACCCCGGCTGCCCCTGCATGGCGCTGATAGAGCTTTGCATGCCCACACATATGTGCACCTTAGAAGGAATGTTGGGCAAATCCCATTATGAAGTTATACCCACAAAAGGTAAATGCAGTAACTTGCACTAACTTCTTACTGCCAATTAAAGAGTCCCCACTTTCATTCAGAGCCAAACACCATCCCATTGGACTGGCATGCATTGGAAAGTCTGACCAGTGATCCATTAATTAATGACAATAAACTGATACAAGTTATACCATTTGTCTTCCACAGGCATTAGTACACAATAGGATTTGAGTTATAAATAAATAAATTTGTTTCCTCCTATTTATATGTGAACAAAATGAGCCAGTATAAACAATTTACCACATATTAGGATTTTTTTTACCATGTAACTACTTGCAGTATTCTTAGTACTGTATTTGCCATTTTTCTTTACCAATAAGCAGTAGTATGTCAGGCTTTATGAAATTGGTGTGTGTATTTAATCTTAAAGTACAGCGCATAAAGTGCACTGATGAGGTCCACTGCCCCTATCCCCATTTGCTTCTTCTAATGCAGTCATGCACATAATAGTTAGTATTATTAATAATGTATATTAATATTAATAGTTAATCTCATTAAAATAAACATGAAAGCCAGAATTCAATTGAGAAAACCTGCACACATAACATTTTGAGTGCCTGATTTCACAACCAATGTGTGACTGGTCATGTGGATGAGTGCCTGCCAACAGTGTTAGCTTCAATTAGCTGCAACAAGTTATATAAACCATACATGAACACCAATAAGATTCTGGCCATTGCATGTCTGGAAAGTAGTTCAGACAATGTTATCAGTTCTATTCCTAGTCTAAAAAGATAATCATAAACTGTCCATACACAGTGAACCAGGATGTAGTGATAATAGTGCAAATGCAAAACATGTTCATCCATAGAAATAAGGAGTGTGCAGACTCTTGTTTAGCTGTACAGTGGTGCCTCGCTTAGCGATGTTAATTCGTTCTGAAAAATTGCTAAGCGATTTGATCGCTAAGTGAAACGCAGTTTCCCATTGAAATGCATTGAAAACTGGATAATCCGTTCCAATAGGAACGAATTGCCATCCTTAAGCGAAAATCGCCATAGGAAACATCGCTAAGCGAAACGCGGTACCCCAATTGAAATGCATTGAAACCTATTCAATGCATCTCAATGGAGGAAAAAAATACAACAACAGATTTAAAAAGAGTCAGAACAAAGTCAGATTTGGTTAACAAAGGGTTTATTAAGTGCACTTTATGATTTCAAACATTTTAAACAGTAAACTTTAACTTTATAAATAACAGAAAAACATTTAAAAAACAGCAAACATGAGGCTGTTTAAACCATCGTTAAGCAAAACAGGGGACCTAAAATTTAATCGCTATGCGAAGCATGGTCCCAACCATCGCTAAGCAAAATTGCCCATAGGGACCATCGCTAAACGAAGCACAAAAACGCTCTGAAAAAGTCATTGCTAAGCAATTTTGTCGCTAAACGGAGCGCCCGTTAAGCGAGGCACCACCGTATTGTGAGGTGCCCACAGAAATGAGCTATCTTTTTAACCTCTGAAATCCACACAAGGTTATCCCACCACAAATCTGTTCTTTTTTAAGATGGCATTAGCAATTACTTCTTCACTTTAATTTTGTGACTATTGTGTATTATAGGTTGGAAAGGGATGCTGTGCAGCTCTGAAGGCCCTGGGAGCCATAGTTTATGTCACAGAGATTGATCCTATCTGTGCCCTTCAAGCATGGTGAGAGATCAATTGTTACAAACATTACTGCCTGAGAGCATTAGCCTCTTCTTTTACTTCTGCTGTTCTTTGGGGCCACTTCAGAAAGTGAAACTGAAGTCAGTCTAATAAGTAAGAACTTTCCTCTTCCCAAACTGTCATAGTAGAAGGCTAGCCTCAGATGAAAGCATAAATTTTCAGTATAAACTTCATGGACAATACCCTGAAGAGATTATGTTCTTCTTTGATGGATTTGTGAATATGCAACTTTGTTGTTCCGTATGAGAGACTACATATCCAATGGGTTTGAGACTATTCTGTTGTAGCACACGCTGCTCAGTAGCAGTACCAAATATTAAAACTTCTGAGGGGTGGGAAAATATAGAAATCAATGCATCTGTAGGAAATGTTTGAATGTGTGAAGTTTGTACATAGCGAAGCAGATACTTTGCTGTATTTTCAGCAATTTTAAGAAGATATTCAGTTCTCATAAGACTGGCATATAACTAACAAGGTTTATATAAATATTTAAACCTTTAGTTTTAATTCAGTAAAAGGAAAATTGGCATTAATGATATCTTGCCTCAGAAAGCAGCACCTAATATCTCATCAAAGCTCTGCTTCCATTGCTTTGTAAACTGTACCAGTGAGACAAAACTATAATGTCATTTATGAAACTGATTAAAGTTGTGCTTTCATCTAAACATCTGTTTAGGAATATGTGTAAGTATCAATACTGTGCCACTGCCAGTGAATTTTGTAAATTGATCAAGTGTGGAGAGTTGGTTTTAAATTGTCAGAGCAACTGGTTATTTTTGCATTGCTGAGATAAATTGCCCTTTACTGTCTTACCTTCTCTTTGATAGCATGGATGGATTTCGAGTAGTGAAGCTCAATGAAGTCATTCGCCAAGTGGATGTAGTTATAACTTGCACAGGTAAAAGCCTGGGGAGAGCCGAAAGGATGTGTATGTCTTACATTGGTACAATCTTTCCCTCCAGTGAAATTCTTCTCGTTTTGGTTTTGTTGTTGTTGTTGTTGTTTGTTTTGTTTTTTTGGCTTCTCAACAAGCAACAGTAATATAAGCTATAATACTCACGGTTTTGTTTTATATGCAGTTTGGAATTGAAGCTTTAAGCAGCACAAGGGAAATTCGTGGTGGAAGATCTGTCCCTAACTTGCTTTAGTTGCCTTTTTCCCTATAGGAAACAAAAATGTGGTGACCAGAGAGCACCTGGATCGAATGAAGAATAGCTGTATTGTATGTAATATGGGCCATTCCAACACGGAAATTGATGTGGTTAGTGTGTCTTAATCTTATTTACTCTTTCAGTCCTCCGAACAATCACTGACTGTTAAACCAGACTTAATCTCTCTCCTTTCAGGCTAGTCTTCGTACCCCAGAGTTGACCTGGGAGCGTGTTCGTTCTCAAGTAGATCATGTAATTTGGCCTGATGGCAAACGGGTTGTTCTACTAGCTGAGGTATGTCTGAGGAAGTCCAAACTGATTATTCTATTGAAAACATTATAAAGACTTCTTTATTTCTTCTTCAGGCTTCACGATATTGAAAGAAATTGAAATTGGGTGTTGGCACCTAAATATATACAATGAAAGGAAGATGTTTTGCTAAGGAGAGGAGAAGATGGCTTCTATTCCTTTGTGTATCTGAGTTGTCTATCTTGTAGAGGTGGGGTGGAGAACAGAACTAGCAAGCCTCTGGTTTTGCTTAGGAGCCATACTGCTCCTGGTCTAAACAAAGTAGGCATATCCAAGGTCTGCATGGCCCAAAGAGCTGAATTAAAAGCATGGCGGCTTGTGATAAATCCAGGCCTACCTTGTGTTTGTTTATCAATATTTACTTGGTACAGTAACTTGAAATGAAATGGTTGTGCTTAGTTTTTTATGGTTCTTTCTCTTTGTCCTATGTATGCTTTCTCAGTTTTTCCTCTTGGCTTCATATTCTAGGGACGACTTCTCAATCTGAGCTGTTCAACTGTTCCTACCTTTGTTCTGTCCATCACAGCTACTACTCAGGTACATGATTATGAAATATTTGCTCACAGACCTCCTGCCTCACCTTTCACTATAGTTGGAACATGCTGTTTGCACGATGGAAGAATATAGTAGGAGAAACCTATTGGTTATTTAAACTCTATGCAAAAAAAAAAAACACACACAAACAATTTTGAATATGTTTTAATAGTGCTTGTCTTTCACTTCAGCTCTTGAAACAGGACCACAGTACTACAAGTTATTTGCACCTAGAGAACTAGTGCAACTCTAGTGCAAGTAAATCTGCAGCATTCCTCAGATACAGTATTTCATACAGTTTTGAATGGAAAAGCTTGGCAGGAAAGGAAGGGCATGGAAAACTGGCCAGTACAGCAACCAAAGCAGCAAAAAGATAGTCATGGGAATAGAGCAGGTTTCTGAAGACCTATTCCTTGATTACTTGAAATCCTGCCTAGCTCTTGAATTTTTGAAAATATCTTATATCTATGTCCACATGTGTTCTCTATAAGGTTACAATGCAAGAGTCTTTCCTTGTACAATGAACTCAGAAACAAATTAAATACTTAAAACTGCTGCCTCACTAACTCACTATATTGCTTCTTGTCAGTTTTAATGCAAATTATCTGCTATTTTGGTATCTGTAGATGCCTTTGTAAACAAAGTTTACAAGAGAATTTAAATGAAGCAGAGTAGATGGATTGTTTCTTCAGCTGAGGAGCTATATAGTGTTATAGGCTGACTTTTCTCTTCAGTGAAGTGATCTTACACATCTCTATTTAGGTACTAGGGTGTAAGGTAAAGGTTCCCCTTGACAAATTGTCCAGTTGTCTCTGACTCTAGGGGGCAGTGCTCACCCCCATTTCCAAGCTGTAGAGCCAGCATTTTGTCTGTAGAAAGTTTCCGTGGTCACGTGGCCAGCGCGACTAGACACGGAACGTTGTTACCTTCCCACCATGGTGGTACCTATTTATCTACTCACAAGTTTTATATGCTTCCAAACTGCTAGGTTGGGAGGAGCTGGGACAAGTGACGGCAGCTCACTCCGTCGCATTAATTCAAGCTGCTGATCTTTCGACCTTGCAGCCCAGAAGCTTTGTGGTTTAACCTGCAGTGCCACCACGTCCCTGCTAGGGTGTACCCAATAACATTATCATTCATTATTTTTGTTCACACTAGATTTGCAAAGAGACTCCCACAGTTAGCTTCCCTTTCACTAAGTTGCCACCAATAAAACCTCACTGCGATTTGCTAAGCTTTTAAAAAAATATGAGGGTGTGATCAAATGGGCATTTAACCCACTGTTTGGTCCACTCTGGGGACAGGTTGGTTTGCTCCTTTTTCTGGCTATCACATGATGTGAACCAGCCTATTCCCAGAGAGTCCTTACCCACATCTTTCTGGCTCCCTGTAAGTTACTTCTACTTTTTTTGTATGGGTAGAATTGCTCAGTTTTTGTTGGTTTCCAGCAAATGCAATGTCAGATTGTCACTGGGAATTTCTATACAGTGGTGCCCCGCTTGACGATAATCCATTCCAGGAAAATTGCTGTTAAGCGAAATCATCGTCAAGCAAAAAAAATTGGAATGCATTGAAAACCGGTTAATGCATTACAGTAGAGAAATACCTCATCGTCCAGCGAAGATCATCCATAGAGAACCGCCAATCAGCTGTTTAAAATCACTGTCTTCCGAAGCAGGCGTCCGGAAAATAGCCATTTTGCGAAGGGAGGGAGCCATTTTGCGAAGGGAAGCCATTTTGCAGAACCGGAAAAATCATCGTTTTGCGAACAAACAATTCGCGAAGCAGGGACCTAATCAACATAAAGCAAAAAAACCCCCATAGGAACCATCTATTGAGAACGCAAAAAACTCATCATCAAGCGATTTCGTCGTCAAGCGAGGCACCACTGTATTGTGAAATGGCTTTAAAAGAGAGCCACTTCAGAATGTTGTCAAATTAAAGACTTTCTCTGTTCCTTCTTTGAGGGGGAGAGGAAGTTTTTTTTTTTTTTAAGATTCTCTAAGGCAGTGGTCCCCAACCTTGGGCCTCCACATGTTCTTGGACTTCAACTCCCAGAAATCTTGGCCAGCAGAGATAGTGGTGAAGGCTTCTGGGAGTTGTAGTCCAAAAACATCTGGAGCCCAAGGTTGGGGACCACTGCTCTAAGGGCAGTGCTAGTGTGCTGCATCAATTTAAAAAAATAAAAATAGAAAACTTCCTCCTGGCAATGGGAGGGGACAGGAGGAGGCTATGAACGACATTTTTCTTTGTTTTTTGAAAACTTTTTTCAAAGGTTCAATTGAAGTATCTGCTGTCATTATAGGTTTAGAGGTTTGACATGTGAAATATCAAAACCATAATAATATTTTATTCAGAGAACTAGAAATAGCAGGTAAAGTTTCTGCTTGTTGATTCTTGCCCTTTATGATTTTCACAGGCTCTGGCTTTGATTGAGCTTTACAATGCTCCTGAGGGACGATACAAACAAGATGTGTACTTGTTGCCTAAAAAGATGGGTGAGCAGTTAGAGAACTAGCCCTCTTAAAGGGTCCTTGGAACACCAATGCAACACTACATGTATGACAAACCTAGTTTCTTAATCTTATGTTTGTTTCATGCAGCAATGTTTTGAAAAAAAGAAAGTATTCTGGAAACATTTTGTATTCATGTTAGAGATGGGCACAAACCAGAAAAACTGCAGTTTGTGGTGGTTTGTGGCTACCCGCAAACTGTGAACTTTTTCAAATTGAAAAAACAAAACAAAACCATGAACTGGTTCATTTTTAAAAGTTTGTACCTGGAGGGATGGGACACTAACACCCCACCCCCGCTGCCATCTGTCTGCCCCCATCCCATTGCCCTTGTTACCTCCTTACCTGGTCCTCCCACCACCTCCTCCCAGCTGCATATGAGCAATCCAGCACCATGTAGCCACACCACGTACACAGAACATTGGTCCCAGCTGATCTCCCTGAACAAGTGGGAACCTGGTGCATGCACATAGAAAGCAGGCCTGACCCACACCTGTCAGTTGAAAGGTGGGTGCATGTATAGATATAGCAGCCACAGCTCCCAGAAGGGAAGCCATACCACCGCCTCTAAAGATGGCAGAGGCTGAGGAGGAGGCAGCAGCAGCACAGGGTAGGGAGGTGATGGGGACAGTGTGAGAGGGGCCAGGGAGCAGGTTATGGGACCGGGGAGGGGGCAGATGGACCAGTAAGTTTGTTAAATTGCTAAAAATCTTTGTTGGTTCAGTTTGTTTGGTTCGGCAGTTTTGACAAACCCAAACAGACCCAACCCAACAAAGCAATGATCTTTGACAAACTTCTTGGTTCAGTTTTTGGTTCGTGCCCATCTCTAACTCCTGTATCTAAGGTGCAATGAAAGTTGTATAGCCTGGAAGCCTCCTACAATCTCCATTCCTCCTCTCTCCCTCCCTGATTAAAAAAAATGCCACTCCAGAGGTTATAATTCTTCATTTAATATATCTCAAAATGACATAAATATTCTTTTAAATGTAAACTTCTAGTCATTTGAAAATGTGGGTGGGGATGTCCTATGTGAGGATCCAGTAGAATGGAAAATGGGTGGCATTCCACAGCTCCCCATCTCCAATCTAAAGACATTACATACAGTGGTGCCTTGATTCTGTAATCCGTTACAGAAGATGGATGTAACTCGAAACGGTCGTATGTCGAAGCACCATTTTCCATTGAAATGCATTGGAACACGATTAATCTATTCCAGAAGGAAAAAAATTAGCCCCCTCAAAAACAAACAGACAAACAAACAAAGCCGAAAGCCCCATAGGAACACACTGGGGCTGGAAAACACACACACAATGGAGCAAGCCCCATCGGAAGGCGCTGGAGTTGCAAAAAAACAACAACTAAAAAACAAAACAACAACCCAGCACATAAACATAACTCCCCCAGCCCAAACCCACCCAGAACAGGCAGTTTTTAAAAAGCAGAAAGAAGCACCTTACCTTACCAGGCAGCCCGAAGCTTCCCTGCAAACACACACCCACTCACTCAGAAGCAGAAGCCAGGCAGCCCGAAGCTTCCTTGCAAACACACACACACTCACTCAGAAGCAGAAGCCAGGCAGACCGAAGCCTCCCTGGAAACACACACACACTCAGAAGCAGAAGCCAGGCAGTCCCAAGCTTCCTCTGAACACACACTCTCTAACTGCTGGGGCGAAAGAGCTACAAAGAAGCAGCCTGTTCACCATCAACAGTTAGTAATTTGAATTTCCCGCCTTTCCCCCTGCCTTTTTGTGTTTGTAACTGGAAGCTCTAGCTCCAAGTCAAAGCAAAATTTTGCGGCCAGAGCTGTTCATAACTCGAAATGGTTGTAAGTTGGGACATTTGTAAGTCAAGGCACCACTGTAAATAAATAAAAAGAAAGAAAACTCCCCAAGACCCATCGGAAACGGGGGGGGGAATACCAAACAAACAAACAAACCCTCCAAGACCCATCACAACATAGAAACATAACCTCCTAGCCCAGAACCACACTGCAAACCCCATCCAGAACAGTTTTTAAAAAGCTGAAAACAGCACCTTACCTCACCAGGCAGTCCGAAGCATCCTCCAATCGCACTCACTCTAACCGTTGGGGTGAAAGAGCTACAAAGAAGCAGCCTCTTCACCTACCAATGGTTAGCAATTTGAATTTCCCGCCTTTTTCCCCTGCCTTTTTCTGTTAGTAACTGGAAGCTCCGGCAGCAAGTCAGAGCAAAATTTTGCAGCCAGAGCTGGTCGTAACTCGAAATAGTTGTAAGTTGGGACGTTCGTAAGTTGAGGCACCACTGTATTCATATCATTGCGGATATTTATCCAAAATGGAAAGAATTACTAGACCTCTAGTTTAGCTTTATTGAGGATACTGTTGCTAGAGATTGATTAATACTGTAGGTTAATGCTGTTGGTACTAACTTCTTAAAGAAATCTAGTCACAGTAAACTATGTCATCTTTTCTTTGCTTTTGTCTAGATGAATATGTTGCCAGCTTGCACCTGCCTTCATTTGATGCTCATCTGACAGAACTAACAGATGATCAAGCAAAGTATCTGGGACTGAATAAAAATGGACCCTTTAAGCCAAACTACTATAGGTAAACTGTCTCCATGAGGGGAAAACAGGAAATGTCTCAGGATGTATGCCTATAATTCAGATGCAACCACATGAATTGTAGGTTTTTGAAATCTTGGTCATTGAAGTAGCATGTTGAGTTTGTATGTTGAACTTGTATTGGATTTCAAACTTGGTCAGCCCTTCTAAAACGTACAGTGGTGCCCCGCATAGCGACGTTAATCCGTTCCGGATTAATCGTTGCTATCTGGAAACATCACAATGTGGGTGGGAAAACCCCATAGAAACGCATTAAACTTTGTTTAATGCATTCCTATTGGGCGAAAACTCACTGTTATGCGAAGATCCTCCATAGCGCTGCCATTTTTGCGCCCTCGGTAAGCGAGGAAATTGCGCGAAAATGGTTGCAGTGGCCATTTTGGAACCGCCGATCAGCTGGCAGAAAATGGGGCCAGCGCTCGGGCGGGGGGGGGAAGTCTCTTCAGGAGAAGCCCAAACGCACGCCCATCAGCTGTTCCAAAAGGCGGGCGTTTTGGCTGCTCCCGGAGAAGCGCTTCTCCAGGAGAAGCCCAAACGCCCACCTGTCAGCTGTTCCAAAAGGCGGGCGTTTCGGCTGCTCCCGGAGAAGCGCTTCCGGAGAAAAGCCGGCGTGCGCTCAGGAGGAGGGCAGGGGAGCCTTCTCCTGCCCGAGCCCCGGCCCCATTTTCGGCG